AGAGACGGGGTTTCACCATGTTGGCTAGGATGGTCTTGATCTCTTGACCTCGTAATCTGCCCGCCTCGGCCTCCCAAAGTGCCGGGATTACAGGCATGAGCCACTGCGCCTGGCCTGTTTTTCTTTTTATTTATTTTTTATTCTCTTTTCTTCGTCTACTTTTTTATTTTGTTTTTGTTTTTCTGTTTTTCTCATAGCATTTTTTATCAGTACCTGAAAAAATTTTCCATTGGGTAACGTATTTGGTGTCTGCGTCCTCCACTAGAATTGTAATTCCTGGGCAAGGATTCTAGTCATTTTCTTCACAACTGAATCCCATTTCCCCGAACAAATATATGAAGAAGTTCCCTAAAAACCCTCCATAAGCCTATAATCCCAGCACTTTGGGAGGCTGAGGCAGGTGGATCACCTGAGCTCAGGAGTTCAAGACCAGCCTGGACAACATGGTGAAATCTTGTTTCTACTAAAAATACAAAAAATTAGCTGGACATGGTGGCACGTGCCTGTACCCCAGCTACTCAGGAGGTTGAGGCACAAGAATCACTTGAACCCATGAAGTAGAGGTTACAGTGAGCTGAGACGGTGCCACTGCACTCCAACCTGGGTGACAGAGTAAGTTGCTGTTTCAAAAAAACAAAACAAACCAAAAAAAACCTCAACTCCCCATTGCTCTGAAGATCAAGACAAAAATCTTTAATCTGATCCATAGGACTCAAGAGGTTTGGCCCTCTCCAGCTTATCACACATCTACCTCTTTGCTCTAGCCACCCTAACTTTCTTCCACATTTGTCTTTCTTTTTTTTTTTTAGACGGTCTTGCTCTGTCGCCCAGGCTGGAGTGCAGTGGCGCAATCTTGACTCCCTAGTAGCTGGGACTACAGGCGCCCGCATGCCCGGCTAACTTTTTTATATTTTTAGTAGAGACTGGGTTTCACCGTGTTAGCCAGGATGTTCTCGATCTGCTGACCTCGTGATCCGCCCCCCTTGGCCTCCCACAGTGCTGGGATTACAGGCGTGAGCCACCGCGCCTGGCCACTTTCTTCCACATTTTCAAAGACACTGGGCTTCTTCCACCTCTGGGCTTTGGCACATGCTATTTCATCTGCCCGAGTCACACAAATTTTCACATGATTGGCTCTTTTCTCCATTCAGCATTCGGGACCAATGACCTCATTGGGCAGGCTTTCCTAATGCCCCATCTGAAGTCACTCCTCATCCTCAGTCACTCTATCCCATCATCCTCTTTTACTTTCTTCATAACATTTACTACCAACTGAAATTAAAATGTTCATTTCCTTGTTTGTCATCTGTGTCTCCCACAGCATATTAAGTTATATGAGTTCAGAGATTTTGTGTATGTTGTTCACTGCAGTATCCCTGGTGTCTAGGGTGGTGCCTGGCAACCACTAGGCATTCAAATATTTGTCGAATAACTGAATGACTCAAAGAATCTTGGGAGGTAGCAGTTATTATTCCTATTTTATGAACAAGAAAATGAAGGTCCAAAGAGGTTTTCGTTACCTGCCCAAGGACACATAAGCCTGGAAGGGGTAGATCTAGAATGTAAATCCAGACACAGCTCAAAATTGATGTCTCTCTATACTCCAACTCTTTCCCCCCATCCCACTTTTCCTAGTTCTATCATCTGCTTCAGGACTCCTTTGGGAACCTACAAGTTTTGTCACAGATGCCACAGCAGCAAATGTTTCAGCCTATTACATACACACATACATGCAGACATGCACACACACAGACATGCACATAGACACCCATGCACAAATAAAAAACAGCTCTCTTTCCTAGCATAAAACTCATCTCATTTATCTAGATAATTGATTAAATACAACAGAATTCAGACAGGAGTGCCAATAATTACACGAAAAATATTGCCCTGTTGCTAAAGAAATTATTCATTTATTCAAGCACCTATTACTTATTGTGCTCTGAGGATGCCAACAGATGAGGAAAAACAGACCAGGGAGGAGCACATGTCCATTTGGCCAAGGCATATTAGATACACTGTACTTCAGCGCTTCTCAAATAAGGGGCAGAGGAACATCTGCACCCACTCTCCTAAAATATGGATTCCTGGGTCTCATTCTCTGCTGCAGCAGAATTTCTATTTCACTTGAATTTTGCTGTAAAACTATGACTTGGGCACTATGATTAGTCCCACTTTAGGGATGAGAAAACAAGTATGGATAGGTTAAAATGAATTCACCAAGGTCACATAGCTAAGCTAGAAATGAGAACTCAGGTATAATTCCCAAATCCACTCTCTTAGCCCCTCAACATTATACACTTCATTCTAGAGCATTTTAAAGCTCTTTGCCCCAGTACTGAAACATAGAAGACCCTCACTGCTCCAAGTGCCGTCCAGCATCATCAGCATCACCTGGGGGTTTGTTAGGAGTGCAAATTCTTGGATCCCACCCCAGATGTACTGTATCGAAATCTGCATCTTAAAAAGACCTCCAGGAAATTTGTGCGCACTTGAAAGCTTGAGAAGTATGCTCCAGATTATTGATTAATGCAAACACAGAAAGCAGAGTAATTGTTGTAACTCCCAGAACCTTTCTAGAGTAGTTTTTCTTGTTAAGCATCTGGTTATTTGACTGAACAACTCAAAGCGCGAGAGGGTGACAGGACTAAATCCTAGTGTCTGCTGCCACCTTGTGGTGAGAAATTCCATCCCAGGCAGAATTTGCTCTTCACCACGAAATAAATGGGGCAATGTTGGAAGGGAGGGGTGGTTCAAGGTCTTCAATTCAGCAATGTACTTTGAGAGACCACTACAAAATTCCAAGATGTAATGAAAACCACCCTTGGGGTACATTTTGAGATGTAATGAGAACCACCCTTGGGGTACATTTTGAGATGTCCAAACAACAACTGGCCTTGTCACATGTGTCCCACAGGACCCAGAGAACATTCACCAGCTGTAGCTGAGAGCTCTAACAGAAGCTCAACTTGTGTTAATCAACAGATCATTCGTATTCCTATAGGTACCTTCCCCTTCAGAGGTCAAATATGACTTCTGAATGTGGTGGTCAATTAGTGCATGGGTGGTTTTTTTGTTGTTTTGTTTTGTTTTGTTTTTTGCGATCCATATGCCAGTGTTGATGCAATCAGATCATCATTTCTGCATTTGCCTTGTTCAAGAATCTGTGACGTGTTCCACAAAGGTCCATGGAATTTCACACAGCTCAGTCAAATACATCATTGGTGACCTCTGTGAAGCTGTAAACAGGGCCAGTCCCACAAATAATGTCTCTGACACTTGGAAGGGAATAAGGGAAAGGCTCTAAAAATTTCCTACATATTTTATTCCAAATAGCCCACACTTTGACAGTACATTCAGTCACTGGATGATTTTGCATCGAAGTCTGTAAGTTCGAGAACTGAAACAGTCCAAAACGGCTACTACAGGTGAAGTTGACAGCAATGGCCCGACGTCAGCTGTATCTACCAGAACCCTTTAAGATTGCCTATGGAAAAGTTGGACAGTGCCGAAGATTCCAGCAACTCAAGAAGAAAAATGGCTCATTCAAAAGGAAGGGGATAGAAAGGTAGGTAACAGAGATTCATTTCCTTTTCTGTCAAATGAGAGTCTTTGGGTTTGGCATAGTGGCATGTCCTTTTAAGCATTACATTTAAAAATGAGGACTCTGGATGGATTGCTGGGGAGGGTACTGCATTGGATCAAGAAATCTAGTGCGACAATGTAAGGTTCATTTTATGATCAGAAAGGTCTTTATTGTAACAGGGAAAACATTTCCTTTACACTTGAAATTGAGTTTTAATGTGGCATAGGAGACTAAAATAAGTACTGATTCTATGTTGATATTTCAGCATCAGAATTTTAGACATCTCACATCCCATGAAAATACTATTACTTTGAAAAGTCATTAGTGCATTTTTCAAAATATGTCCACGATCAGTGCTTTCTTTTTCCTATCCCAGCAATTTGGGCTGCTGAAATATGTACTAATCACATTTCACTATGGACACATTGTTTAATTTAACGTTAAAACTGCCTTAGACCTGCTATTTTTTTGTCAGTGACAAAACCTTACAGACAGGTATGAAACATCCAAAATATAATATATTTTAATTTGGAAAGTCAGTGTGGCGATTTATTTTCCAATTTCTTTGCGCTTCTTTCTTACCAGGTCCATGGACTATAGTTCAGACATGTAGAAGTGAGGTGTTTTAATGAGTCCTGGAAGCATCAAAGACCAAGCTTAGGAACTTCCATGGACAAAATAAAATACTGCAGAGATTTCCACTTTCAGTGAAAAGTAGGAGCTCCGGGGGAAGCAATACAACCAAATAAATTCAGTACCAACACAAAAATATTAAAAAACATAAAAAGGGGAGGGTTCTGCTCGTATCAGAAGTTGCAGCAGTTGTATTCCTAGGCTCTGGAGCTAAATCACCTTTGTTAATTACGTTTTAGATAGATTGGAGATGAGAGTGGGGAGGATGGGAATGGGAAACAACTTCTAGAGATTCTGAGACGACTTAGAACTGGGCTTTTAACATGGGTGGTCTTCGAAATTCCTGAATCTTCTGAAATTGTATTTGCGTTGTTCTGTGTCAGAGTATGTATATGTGTGTACATGTTTATAGTAGTAGAATCACTTAAAAATTAAATTATTATTAAAGGAATCTCAGAGGGCTTTACGGGAGATTTATCCTAGCCCATAAGTTATCTTTGGGCAAATTAGGAAATGGTGCTCCCTCCTCAGGACATTTTACTGCCACCTGCCATAAAATCATTATAATAACTATACGCAAGTCTAACTATGAAATTGAATAGCACCCCCTAGAAGTCGTACATGTACAATTTGCAGAACCCTGCCCTTGGTCCCAGAAGGGAGGCTGCTAGCTTCTCTCTTATTTTGCCCTCTAGTGTGGGCTCTCTCCTTGCCTTTTACATTTTCTGCATTGTTCTGATCCACATGGTAATAAAAAGTATCATTTATTGAATGCATTTTAAGATTCCAAACACGTGAATTATTTCCCTTTATTTTCACAATTCTGAAAAGACTATGCCCATTTTCAAATGAGAAGATGAAAGCTTATAGAAGTTACCTAACATGCTCAAGGTCACAGAGTTGGGGATTGTCCCGAGTTGAACCAATACCATTGAACTCCAGTGTCTAGGCTCTCACTGAACTACTCCCCATGTATCATTACAGAAAAAGGCTGAATGATTTGGGTTCCGTTTAGAACAGTGTTTTCCTGGAGAGTAGTACATATGCTACTGATGATGGTACATGAGGTATTTTAGGTAATATATGAAGAACATTGTTAATGGTTATAAATTTGTTTTAATCCATATTAGAAATATATGTTATATATTTAATATAATGTAATAGCATAATATAAAACCTAGGATTTCACCCAGAGAAATGAAGACTTATGTTCATACAAAACCTATA